AGTGCAAGTATGACAAGGAAACTCCACAATTATAGGATAGCGTGAGCATGCAAATTTGAATGCATACCTTACACTATTACAAGTCAATGCACTGTTACAACTATGCTCAGCGATGCTTCAAAGCATATTTGCATTTACACGCAACTCAACGAACTGAGATTCAAATATTTCCTTTCCACAAAATTCTTATTGCAACATGATATGCATCCGATGATCATCCTCAAAACACTCTGCTTAAAGGAAATGCAGTCGTTTTCCCACATGATACATTCAAATCTGGTCAAATTTGGCATCAAAAGATGTTCTTGTCATCACATTGATGTATGCATCTCACAACATGGTGCCCACAGGGCGCGATCTGCTTGAACGTGAGTCTCCCAAACTGACACCGTGTACAACATTGGTACATTCTGTACAACGTTTAAAAATTCCAGAAATGGCACGGTGCTGGCAGGATCCCACAATTTGAAATGGCGTGGTTTGACAGAAGTAAAACATTTCAAGGAAAATTTTCGCTTTGAAATCCAAAACCTATTCATTCAGAAAAATCCAGGTAGAAAAAGACCCCGCCGAGACGGAATAAAATCCAGTTGAGAACCCAATGGAATGGAGTCGAGCGGAAGCCTGTGCGTCCTTGAGCTGCTGTTTGACGACATCGAGTTCCTCTTGAAGTCTGTTCCTTTCCCTTTCAACCGAGAATATACGCGACAATGTGTTGAAGTACTCTTCCTGTCTGAGCTTGAATAGGTTTTGGTACTCAGTCTGAGGATCGTTGAGCTCCAGGTCGCAACTTCCTTCAATGAGGTAATCCTTTGCCTCGAGGATTGTTCGAGACTCGTCGCTGCAGATGTCGGCTCTGGCTTTGTCTGAGTGTTTGAACATGTAGACCCTCTTGTATGCCTTGGTGATCTCGCTTGGTGTATAACTCTTTGTTGCATCGAGGCCAAGGGTGAGGTAGAAGAAGCCTTTGGTGTAGTCAAAGGAAGAATCACGCTCGTTAAGTCTTGTGACTGCATCATCGAGCCTTCTGTTCACATCGTCGAGATCATCATGCAGGTCATAAATACGCTGCCTCATATCAATGATTCGATCATGTTTCTTTTGCAGGTCTTGCCTAAGAGACTTGATTTCGCTCTTAAAAGTTGTATTGGTATGCTTGAGAGTGTCGTAGTTGCCTTTGAGGACATTGTATTGGTGCTCGAGTGTGATGAACTTCTGTGAGAGGGAGAAGTATTGATCTTCCACAGAGGCTTCTGTATCGCTATTCTGCATGGCGCGATCGGAATTAGCTCTAGACCTTCAACCCTTAGCCTAGCTGAAGAGGTTCACAGTTGATACTGATAAGGGTACTCAACCCTCTAAACAGGGGGTACTCAATACCTATCAATAACTCGTATTATAAAAGCACATCAGGCTGATTCCAGGGGTACTCAACCCTCTAAACAGGGGGTACTCGCTATACTCAAGGGGGTACCCAAGACCTATCAATAACTCATATTATAAAAAACACGTCAGGCTGATTCCAGGGGTACTCAACCCTCTAAACAGGGGGTACTCGCTATACTCAAGGGGGTACCCAAAACCTATCAATAACTCATATTATAAAAACACGTCAGGCTGATTCCAGGGGTACTCAGCCCTCTAAACAGGGGGTACTCGCTATACTCAAGGGGGTACCCAAGACCTATCAATAACTCATATTATAAAAACACGTCAGGCTGATTCCAGGGGTACTCAGCCCTCTAAACAGGGGGTATTCGCTATACTCAAGGGGGTACTCAAGACACGCCCCTCAACCCAGCTGCAGAGCTTTACAGCTAATACTGATAGGGGGTACTCAACCCTCCAGCCGGGGGTACTCACTATCCTCAAGGGGGTACTCAAGACACCACCCCTCAACCCAGCTGCAGAGCTTTACAGCTAATACTGATAGGGGGTACTCAACCCTCTTAACAGGGGGTACTCGCTATACTCAAGGGGGTACTCAAGACACCACCCCTCAACCCAGCTGCAGAGCTTTACAGCTAATACTGATAGGGGGTACTCAACCCTCTTAACAGGGGGTACTCGCTATACTCAAGGGGGTACTCAAGACACCACCCCTCAACCCAGCTGCAGAGCTTTACAGCTAATACCGCCGATAAGGGGTACTCAACCCTCTAAACAGGGGGTACTCGCTATACTCAAGGGGGTACCCAAGACCTATCAATAACTCATATTATAAAAACACGTCAGGCTGATTCCAGGGGTACTCAACCCTCTAAACAGGGGGTACTCGCTATCCTCAAGGGGGTACTCAACAGACGGCCCTCAACCCAGCTGCAGAGCTTTACAGCTCAACCCTCCAGTCGGGGGTACTCAACCCTTCAGCCGGGGGGTACTCAACCCTCCCAACAGGGGGTACTTAGCGTACCCAACACATATCAATAACTCATATTATAAAAAACACATCAGGCTGATTCCAGGGGTACTCAACCCTCCAGCCGGGGGGTACTCACTATCCTCAAGGGGGTACTCAAATAACTCATATTATAAACTCCACCCTCCCAACAGGGGGTACTTAGCCCCCCACACACATCTACTTAACTCACCGCCGGCGCCACCGGACCCCGAAAAGCCACGCCGCCATGCCCAAACGCAGCAACGACTCCCACCCATCCTCGTCAAAGAAGCGTAAAGTATCTCTTTCCAACGCATGCAATACTGTTGCTTTGTACAAACCTCCTGTGTATTTCCACAATGCTCAATCTGCTATTATACGTCACGCTCATAATGCCATCCACAAACCAACTGTTGACTGGCAATTGTATCTGATCCAACTCTTCTGCATGCTTGACCGCTTTACTATCAACAAACTCATTCCAAATTTCTTGGACCCTTCCGTGATATATGCTCTTGTCGAATACAAACCTTTCCTGGGACTTGATTACGCAAAAAGTCATATCTTTTCACATTGGCAATGTAATATGTATTACACTTCTAAGCATTCCAAGGGCCGAAATCGTGCCATTCGTTACACCAACTGTCAGACAGTTCAATGGCGATTGTATTTGATTCAACTCTTCTCGTTGCTTGACCGCTTTACGATCAAAAAGCTCGTTCCATTCTTTTTGGACTCTTCCATCAAAGCTGATCATGATATGCTCTGTCGCAACTTGTTGAAATCTTTTCGTATCAAACTCAACCCAAAAAAATTGCATCACAACACAAAAGTTGATGAATATCAAGCCTGGATACGAAGGATGTTTCAACATTCAACATTCGACAAGGAAAAACAGATGAAGCTTCACTACGAAGCTCGAATCCAGAGCATGCAACAGGAACACGCTGCAGAAATCCACAACAAGGACAGGTTGATTGCTAGCCTTCTAAAGAGGATCCCTAAAAGGTTTTGACAATAAAATTTCTTTCAATCTGCCTTGTGTTTCATCTTTCTACACACCGCACTCTTTCCACCTTGCTTCAGACTTGTCTCGTATATAAAATAAAGTGTTGAAGCGGCAACAACAATGATCTTCCATGGCTTAAATCAATGGCAATTACAACTGAATTCATAGTGTACTGGCGTTGAGTGATGTTGCAATTAGAATCATTGTGTGGGCAGCCAGCCCCTTTGCGCTATTGATTCTTGTTTGGATCATATACGGATTATATTCACTAACAACTATGTTATATTCACTAACAACTATGTCAAGAAAAGAGACTTCCGTGGCGCAGCAGCACAGATACTTTCAAATTCAGACTCCCTGGCAATGCCAGCCAGCCATCTATAGCATCAGTCATAATCTGGTTTAAAGCCACAATCAATCAAACACACAACTCAATCGCGCTCTCACCTCAATCAGATTTCACTCTCATCTGAGTCAGAGTCCCACTCGCTCTCAGACACCAAATCATTCATCCCTTGCCTTGCATCCTCATCCTCATCCTCATCCTCATCCTCATCCTCATCCTCATCCTCATCCATCGGACACGCATCTCCTCCATATTCACCCGTGTTTACCCTGTCAATCACAGTCTCCAAACCACTCAATGGCAGAGGAAACCAAGGTCCAACTGGAACGTGATATCGCATTCAAATCTAGTAATCAACTCCTCACGTGGATGATCCAGCATCGATATGCGCTCACAGATACACACTTTCGCCTCCTCAACACGATCCTGCGCCTCTCTGTATGCTTTCTTGAACAACTCAGTAAAACGCCCCTTTGAAGCTTCAAACTCCTCGCCCCTTCCAGACTGCTCCAGCAACGACTTCGCTCCTTCTCTCAGCTCATCCGACGGTGGCTTCATCAAAACACTGTACTCATACCCCTGTTCATCATAACCCTTGTACAAAGACCTTGATACAATGAAAGGAGACAGAGCATCGGAAACAATGCAATAAACCTTATCCTATAGAGAGCAATCATCAACAACCTTCAAGCATCACAAGAAATAAACAAATCAATCATCACCTGCATAAGCGTAAAACAGAAAAGATTCTTATGATAATAATCATCCAACATCGCTCTCTCTCCATACTGATAAGTACTCTCCAGTCTCACGTCTTGGAAAGTATGATTGCATTCCAAAACACAATCCTTCCAGCACTGTAACAAATATAACTACACAATACATCACCAAACCATATAAGCATATTACATCAAAAATTCAACCAGATCATATGCAACTTCCACATTGTTCACATTCGCAAAAGCCTTCTCAAAAACATTCAACTGCTTCGTAGCAACCAAATACGCACAGCCCATAAAAGGTCTCAGATGATTCTCAAGCTCCTCATCCAGCTCAACATCAAAAGCATCCTCCAGCGCGAAATACTGTCAATCATTCAACTCGTCAATTCTAAAATTCCATAATTTTCAAACAAACTAACCTTCAGATGCCCAAGTAACTCATCCTTCTTCCCCAAAAACATCTCAAAGTCACCAGACTCCCGGAAACTTAATCCTTGCAGATTCCCAATACACTCTTCCACTTGATCCCAGTCACAATTCAAAATACTCTCCACAGAAAGACCCTTATCACTCCGTAACGATTCCATCACAGCTCCCGCAACAACATCTCTCAGACGCCTTTCGTTCATCCCTTTAGCTCTCAGAACTCCATCCAGCCACCACCTCGCCTAATTTAAACAGGTTTGTGACCAGGAACTTCCCACTACCCCTAGTAATAATCCAACTGAGGAGGGGTACCAAATACACACCAATAATATAAAGATCTACATAAATAATATTCCCAAAATATCCCCAACTTCCCACTACCCCTAGTAATAATCCAAATTCGGAGGGGTACCAAATACACACCAATAATATAAAGATATATATAAATAATATTCCCAAAATATCCCAACCCAAATCATGTAATGAAGAGAAAGAGAATCGAACCCGTCTTCATCCACAGTGACGGCAAACAGCTCATTCTTAATCTCAAAAACGCCATTACAAAAAACCAAGACAAAATTTGTAATTTACATCATAAAAACTAATAAACCCAACAAGGCATACATCAATCCCGATACACACTACCTAAACAACAAACAAATCCACACACCACCCGCAAAACACTCGTCAAAAAAAGAATTCTCCGATTCATACTCTTAAAAACCCATTCAAATGCATATAAATCATCCCACATCATAAAATATATTCATCATATGCCATCTGAAGACGATAATGATAACATGCCATCTGAAGACGACCAGAACGAACAGAAGCCAAATAATATCAAAATATCAAAAAGAAATCCTATACCACTATACATACTTTTCTATCTATTTTGGTTAACAGCTCTCATCACATGGTACTACAAACCAGCCCCTATCAACCACATAAATAAAAGAAGACAAGATTCACAAGACAAACTCAATGTACCATTTCTATTACATTGGTTCCTATCCAATGTTATCATAGCAATATACTTCCTCGCTCTGCCTTTGATAGTATCTCTATATTCTTTCAACAAGATATCATTGTCAAGATTACAAATAATATTCCCAATCACTCTGACGGCACTCATTGGAATCATAGTATGGTTACTATTCGATCCTTTCACAGATAAACGCTCTTCAAATCCATATACACAAAGCGAACTAACACTAGTTTCAATCGGTGGTATCTTCGTTATGGCTTTGTTCATATTCCTTTCTTCTTTCATGTTGATATGCACCTCGCAACGCGATCTCCAACAACATCACCAACTAAATCAAATCCAAACAGCAGTATCCAAATCAAAATACAGACGTTACCACCCTTTGGCAACCTTGCCTATTGATAAATACCAATATATTTACACAGTTCAATAAATACAACGTAATCCAAACATTGACACTAATGATTCATGACAATTTCAATAAAATCCGCATCATCACTTCTACAAAACCCCAATGAACAGAGGAGGCATAGATTGACAAGGCATAGATTAACAAGCATTTTTAATAAATTCAATTTTTTTAAGATTGTCTTTTTCAATTTTCTACATCAAAATCAACCATATTCTGCTGTTTTCTACTGCTCAATTTCCGAGATTTTCCATACCTCATTTTTTTCTTCTAAGTCAAATCTCTCATTATCAATCTCTCACAAAACACCAGAAAAATTTACCCAAAAGTAACACAGAAATCAGCTAAATGATATTGTTATTCTTATCAATTTAAACCAATTCAAAACTGATTTAAATCGATTCAAAGTCACTTACCTCACGTTTTCGTTACATATATATACAAATTTTTTTTTTTGCACCCTCTCCTGCACAAGGCCGATTTCATATGTGACCCACTAAGTAAAAACACCAAGGGTCCGACCCTTTCACCTAAAAACTACCCCTACTTTCATATCTCTTTTGTTACCACCCCTTCAATTTGACTGTGAGGAGGAACCCTTGTTGAATGGCGGTTTTCATATGTGACCCACTAAGTAAAAACACCAAGGGTCCGACCCTGGCCCTCAGAGCTAGGGGATCCCAAGGCATCTCCCGGAGCCTCGGAGGGACAATGGCATCGCTATATCCTCTCTGGCCTCTCTGTCCTGCACATGGCGATTTTCATATGTGACCCACTAAGTAAAAACACCAAGGGTCCGACCCTGGCCCTCAGAGCTAGGGGATCCCAAGGCATCTCCCAGGGGGACAATGGCATCGCTATATCCTCTCTGGCCTCTCTGTCCTGCACATGGCGATTTTCATATGTGACCCACTAAGTAAAAACACCAAGGGTCCGACCCTGGCCCTCAGAGCTAGGGGATCCCAAGGCATCTCCCAGGGGGACAATGGCATCGCTATATCCTCTCTGGCCTCTCTGTCCTGCACATGGCGATTTTCATATGTGACCCACTAAGTAAAAACACCAAGGGTCCGACCCTGGCCCTCAGAGCTAGGGGATCCCAAGGCATCTCCCAGGGAGACAATGGCATCGCTATATCCTCTCTGGCCTCTCTGTCCTGCACATGGCGATTTTCATATGTGACCCACTAAGTAAAAACACCAAGGGTCCGACCCTGGCCCTCAGAGCTAAGGGATCCCAAGGCATCTCCCAGGGAGACAATGGCATCGCTATATCCTCTCTGGCCTCTCTGTCCTGCACATGGCGATTTTCATATGTGACCCACTAAGTAAAAACACCAAGGGTCCGACCCTGGCCCTGGTACGCTACGGCTCTCTTAGCTACCAAAATTTGGAAACCCTTTCAATATAAAAGCAACCTTGTTAGAATCCCGACAAAATGCAAATGTATACATCACTATCAACCCCTCATCAATATAACCCCCAGTATCACCCTGTCCCTATCACCATGGCACCGGCGAATTACGAACGAATAAACTCACAGTATGACCAAAGAATATACCACGAACATCGCCACAAGGATACTTTCTGCGACAAGGTCATTGGATGCGCTTGGTTTTGTCATAGTTTTACATATTGCAGTCAGGTGTTTTGTGATGCATAAATCTTTGAAAACGACTAGATGTTTTTGTATTTGTGACTATCCTTTATTTTGTGTCCAAGGGATTTAATCACTAGATTGACCTAATGGGTTGTAAACATTTCAGTCTACAAACACCCATGTGTCTGTGACATTGAGCGCGCAATAACCCCCGTACCTCGAGAACCTGCACCTCATCCCCTCGCCACAGTCCTCGTCTCTGATGCATGGTTGCACATGGGATTCTAACCCACGGGAGGTGACGACGGCCCTGAAACTTTTTGCTAGGACAGTCAAATCCGATTCATGTTCGAAGTTAGATCCTCCCTCTGCGAGACGGCATAGCGCCCCAGCTCCTCGCAGTCGGCGTGGCCCCGGAGGACACACAAAGTCAAGGGAGTGGGTGCGGACAACCCTTTTGCGATATTCGAGTGCGGTCGCATTCTGCATTGTAAAGACTTTATGCGATTCGGTTGTAGACGGCTCGTTGAATCTCAACTGGGTTTCCTGATGCCAAGCGCTTGTTCCAAGAAGAAGGCACATCAACAGCAGTGGTGGCGGTGATAGCAATGACAGCACGCAACTCGTCATTTGGTGGATTGGTCACCTTCCAAGGAAGGTTCCCTTATTAAATTCTGGAGAGAAGTTTTATTCTTCACAAACGTTTTATTCTAAAACAAAGAAAATAAAATGTATTAACCCTTTGGGTAGCTGGATCGTAATTCGCAATGCCCCTGCCACATGGTTTCTATGTCTTTACAGAATGGCACTTGAGCCACAAGAACCTCGCTTAAACTTTGAAACTTATCTGAGCAACCCTAGGGTGATCGTGAGGCATACCAGTGACATCCAGAAATTAAAATATCTTTACCATAACACGGTGATAAAATCACTAAAACTAAGGACCAGATTGCATCAAGAAGCCCTCGAGACGAGACTGGCGAGCAGAAGACAACTTGAAGAGCACTCCGCGCGTGAAAGGTCTGATAAACAAGTGTTCAACAAGACCTTGAGCAACTGAGATAAAGTCATGATCAGAGTATCTCCTGTTCAGAATGTCATCAACGATCTCGTCAACTCTCTTCACCGCTTCATCCTCTCCAACATTTCGTCCTTCAATCAGATAAGTTTTCAGAAATCGCTTAAATGAAGTCAATTGATTGGAGTCCTCACGGAAAACTTCGAACATTCCAGGCATGGAAAGCAAAAGAAGAATCAAGCCACAGTACTGGTCAAATCTGGCAGCAACAACAGACCGCCGGACACGATTCATAAGATCCTTTACAGTCGGAAGATACAACATTGATGAAACCTCTTTATCGACTTCCGATGAATTAACACACGAATCATAGCTGATTGAAGGCTTCTTGTAATTGAAGATATAATTGAAGCACCTTTCAACGTACAAGAATGAACACAGGTACCTGCTTCCTTGCAAAAACTCATACCCGTCATCGGCCAAACGATACGAAAAACGAACCATATCATCGAAAACGACACTATCAGAAAGACCGGAATTGACCATGCATCGCTGGTGAAAACTCAACAGATACGGAAGGAAGTTGAAATGAATCAGAAATTTCCCGAATCCACATTCAGAATTGAAGAAGATAGCACGAAACAAACTCTTCATACAAAGATTGTCCACAGGTACATGACTCTTCACAGATTCCTTTTGCCAGTCCCAAAAATAACTCAAGCAGACAAGAGGCAAGAAACTCCACGTCTCTTTCATTCTCGGAGTCATCGAACCCTCAATCCTCTCCTTCGTCTCTTTTGGAATATCAGCAACAAGACTTCGCAAATCCTTCTCAACGGATGAATAACAGGCATCATGGTCATCGAACTTGATTTTGTATCCCTTGATCATCAGCTTTCGACTAAAGTTCATATCCATGTGACAAACAGCCCACTTCTCAGCCTTCTCCGCAGCCTTATCCTTAGACTTCCATTCAGGCTCCTCGTCACTATCAGGCAGTACCTTGCTGTCAACTCTCTTCCTCTCTCCAGAGAACCACTTCTCGTCACTCTCAATGTCATCAGGATCATCAAAGTCATCCGAAGAGTCACATCCCTCACTCTCTGACTGGCTCACACTCGCATCGGAATGCTCGTCATCATCATCATCATCCACCTCGTCCCGTTTCCTCTTTTCTCCAGGAAAAAGGACCAAGAAGAGCACAGACAGAAACACTCGTGCATGCTTGCAAAACAACATCTTGCAGGTTTGACACTTCACGTATGGCTCTTGATTCTTTTAACACTCCTTGCTGAGAAATCTAAAAGATAATAATGTCATGTTTGGTAGTTTAAAAAATATCATTAGAGTACAATAATAAAATTCTTTTTTTAAAAATAGATTGTAGATGGTACAACTGTCATTATTATTTATTATTTTTAGATCTTCTGACCCCACCCTCTCTGACCTATATACTACCCCCTTGATCCCACGTCAGCCAAGAAGGCAAATCTTATACCCGACTAGTACCCCCTGTTTGTCTGTATACTACCCCCTTGATCCCACGTCAGCCAAGAAGGCAAATCTTATACCCCGACTAGTACCCCCTGTTTGTCTGTATACTACCCCCTTGATCCCAAGTCAGCCAAGAAGGCAAATCCTATACCCCGACTAGTACCCCCTGTTTGTCTGTATTCTACCCCCTTGATCCCAAGTCAGCCAAGAAGGCAAATCCTATACCCCGACTAGTACCCCCTGTTTGTCTGTATTCTACCCCCTTGATCCCAAGTCAGCCAAGAAGGCAAATCCTATACCCCGACTAGTACCCCCTGTTTGTCTGTATTCTACCCCCTTGATCCCAAGTCAGCCAAGAAGGCAAATCTTATACCCCGACTAGTACCCCCTGTTTGTCTGTATACTACCCCCTTGACCCCACGTCAGCAAAGAAGGCAAATCTACCTTCACATTTTATTTCAAAACCAATATTTGAAATTTAATTGAGTGGTTAAATTTGAACTTGCAAGACATCGTTTTCAACTTATTTTCATTTCAAGCAAGTTTCAAAAGTTTATGGACTCAAATGAAATTACACACAAACATTGTTTCAAATGTTTCGTTGCTTTCGATTAGCCGCATCGAAAAACCCTGCCATGTCAAGACTAGCCCAATCCTTCAGAGACACCGTTCATTGCATGAAGGACAAGCGCATGACCTCACAAATAACTCAAAGATCTGTTCTTGATCAAACTGCACACACACATCTCGTTCTCATAGGGATATCTTTTATATTGCTTGACAGAAACGTTTTATCAGAGAAATCGCGACTGAGGCGGGAAGGGGCTGAGGCGGAAGGCTGAGGAGGACTTAGACAGACTGAGACCCTGCGATTAGTTCCGGAACACCGTTCCTCACAGACTCCACCATCCTATCCAACAGTTGCCTCAGCCCCGCCTCGCTACCACAGCTCCCCGTACTCTCGTTCCTCACAAACCAATGGCCCCAGCGCTTCGCACGCCTCACCTTGTTCTCGATCCCAACAATCCAGTTGTTCTGAATCATCAGCGGCAGAACACCCCCGCTACCCTCACACTCCGCCCTCTTGCCCTTGAAGTTGTTCACCACACCCCCGTCATACCACTGCCCGTTCACAAACATGCACCGTGGAAACACCGCGTGCTTCAACCCAAACGTTCTCGACTTGATCAAACGCGTCAAGATCACCTGCTCTGACTCCAAATACACCAGAGATTGTTCCCTGTCATCGACGAATGGGTCAAGCATATCAGTCAAATCATGCATCGTGGTAGTCTCATTTTCAACCATTTTTTGCTTTGGTGCCTTGAACGAAAGTATACTCCAGAATTGAATGATCAGTCATTCTTCTACAAGTGTTTCCTTCTTGGAACTGAAACGAGAAAAGAATACAAGCTCAGAGAGCCGAAAAAAGGTAAAGAAGACAAGATACAACAGCAACAGAACTATCGTGACATGTTACGTTCGTTCTGGGAGGAAAAACATTCAACTTATGATGAATATCAAATCAATCGCATCAAAGGAGACGGGCAAGCAATACTGTATGCCATACAACAATACATCACGAATCTCAAGACATACCTGGCATACACCATCAATTCGAGGCAAATCAGATATATCGAGGAATGGACTGAGACACAAATAAAAGAGCTCAAAATACCAAAAATGAAGGTGACAGAATTGAAGGAGTTTCAACACAACCTCCGATGCGTTATCAATGGTTGGGCATTTCCACCACTAAGGTATCTGATGCAGGAAGATGTATCCCGATTTGTACAAGATCAGAGAAATGTTTTGGGGTTACAAAGAGGACAATTTGTTCTGTTGAATCAGAAGCATCTCAAGGCACATACTTGGTGGTATGAAAACCATCAATTGGAATTGCTTCGATATCAGCATATGATATTGTCCTTCCTTGAACAAAATGAAACCAAGACATATTCCTTAGCCCCTATTTGTACGATCAAGAGTCATTTCATCACTATTGATGCCAAGATATTATCGGCCATGTCGAAAGGACTTAGATTGACAGTCGTTGAAATGGATGAAGACTTTTTTCAAATGAAGGATGTATTCAGATATGACCGATATGCGAAAAATGGAAAAACATTGAAACGAGTCCAAACAGACGGGGTTTCTCTTTGTTTTCATTTCGAAAAAGAAGTGATCCAGAAAAAACAAGAACAACGCGAGAAAAAGAAAGCGCGACATGTTGAAAACACAAGCAACAGAGTGATTGCTATTGATCCTGGACGAACTGTCTTGATTTGTGGGATTGAAGATGGGACAGGTAAACAATTCCGCTTCAGTCGAAACCAATACTATCAGGAATCTCACATGAAGAGGAATGAGCGGAGGTCAAGAAAATGGAATACAGAGATAAAGGAAATCAATAATAGATTGAGTAATGCTTCTTTGAAAACATGTAATTCAAAGGTCTTTGAACAGAACATCAAGGTTGTCTTGGATGTCAGAAAACAATGTTTTCAACATCATTGCAAACGAAGAGAGGCTCTACTCAGAATGGACAACTTCATTCACAAAAACAGAGTCGTTGATCGTTTTCTGAATACTCTTCAAACAAAGGATCAGGAAGAACCAATGCTTGCGTATGGTGATGGGTCATTCAATTCAACAGGGAGAGGAGAAAAAATGGCACCCGTAAAGTGGATCAAAGAAAAATGCAAAAAACGATTCAAAAAGTTTGTTGAGATTGATGAATACTTCACAACAGCAAAATGCAATTGTTGTGGAGAAAGATTGCATGACTTTACCCGTCGACATTCCATGCGAAAAAAAGGGAAACATAATACACGGAAAAAAATTGTTCGAGGATTGAAATGGTGTTCTTCCACCAGATGCTTCAAGTCTCCATTTGTATCCCGGGATGTCAATGCAGCAATGAATATTCTACTGTGTTTCAGGACACTTCCTGGAAGACCTGAATTCCTGCAAAGACCTCTGTATCATCGCCCTCAATAGTCATTGACTATTGGGGGTCATCAAGAGAAACATTCATTTGTTCGCTCTTGGTGGGTATGCTCCCAATGGGGGTACATACCATAGCCTGTAGACTTCAATTTTGTTTTAGATTTCGATGTCTATTTCAGTTTGTCGTTTATAGGTTATACTCATTATCTTTCGAAGCGAAATGTTTTGAAGTGACCACCTGCCGTAACCCAAGCGGATTTTCCCAGCTATCATAAATGCATCGGGCCTTTACGGATGCAATCGAGGGAATGCCATACGACATCGGTCCGCTCCCTGGATGTACAAACACCAACGCAGCCTGTCGCCTGCGAATAAAATGCACAGGGTCAAATTTAACACGATGAAAAGGCATGAAGAAAATAGACTGATGACATACCTGGCCGTCAATTCATCTTTGATCTGTACAAGACGCCGCTCCATGTTGTTTAGTTGATGCAAGATACTCTTCTCAATGAATCCATGCTGACCAAAATTTTTCTTCTGTCCTTGACACGAGACATCACTTTTGACAACTCTTTACCAATTGGCACGATGTCTTTCTTTATCATGTTCTGGATATCCCGTGGGTAGAACTTCGACTGATCCTCCAAATTGTTGACATATTGAAAAATCTCAACGGTCGTATGAAGGATATAATCAAGTTGATCCACATCAATCTCTTCACAAGTCATGTGGTAGATCAAAAGCTTGATCTGATTGATTGCCGTGACCAAGAACGTTGCTAGACTGCCCCACATCATCGCAGATATCAAATACAGAGAATAAAGGTAATCTGAATCTTGCATCATGCTGAGTATAGGTTTCTCCGGTCCCTCGATCAGGGCACGCCGCAATTCTTCTATGTATGGGTTGGGATAAGCGGAGTAACCTGGTTGGGGTGGGCTGTTCTCAGCTTGGTGGTAGATGTGTTTATTCGGTCGCTCGATCAGGGCACGCCGCAAAGTTGCTATATATTCGTTGGCATAAACGGGGTAACCTGGCCGGGGTGGGTTGTTCTCAGCTCGGCGGTAGAGGCTCGAGGGGATCAAATCGCTCATGCTTGAACGTGTTCTTCGCGCTGTTGGATCACAGTGCTTTTAAATACATTCCAAATCTTTATGACCAACAAAAAACCTAACAACTCGTTGATTCCAGGTCAAACCCCAGGTACCTCCGTCATGGATTGCCTCTGTATACCAGGTTATGGATTCACCAACAACACGGTAATAACTAACTCTAACACTAGCACTAGCACTAACTGGCTAAGTCACACAAAGTTCGAAAAATTAAAATCTCAAATGTTGCGCCACGAGAAGAACATCAAGCCACACACGACTCGGGGCATTGGGTCCCCTCCGGGCAGACGCTGCACTTGTCGGCAGCAAACCTGTAGTATCCATAGTCACACTGACACTGCATCAATGAGGAAGCCCCTGAGGTGGAGTTGGATCGCTCCGGGTATGCACTCTTCACCCTCCCGGTGCAGTAGAACCCCGGCTCACACAGCGAGCACCCCCCTGCAGTGAGGTACGAGCCCTCAGGTACCAGCATCCTCCCCACCCTAGTATGCCGTATCCCCCACCCGGGGAAGAAATATTTAAAAAATAACTGATATAAATATGTTTTAACATGCCATTAAACAACATGCATGATTTTCATCTAATATTCATATTGTGCAGCGGGTTAGTGTATTCATGTTATGCGTCGGATGGGTGGTGTTCTACTTATGGTTATGGAAGTTGCCCCGCAAATTCTAACGCCCCTATTCATGGTTATGAATTTTACCCAGGCTTATACTGTAGCTGGTGTACGTGTATAACGGATTATCATCAAAGTGTAGTAGAATTAGCGAATGGGAAAACTGCTACCGTGTGCCTTAAATGTACAGACTGCTACCCGGGATACTACGTTACCACCGCATGTAGAGCAAATGAAAATGGTGCACAAAACCGTATCTGCTCTCCATGCGCAGGTGATTCATACTCAGCACTGAACAACAACATGTCATGTACACCATGTCCTGATAACTCAGCCATCCCCAGCGGTACCAACAAAACTGCCCGTACAGCCTGCCAATGCAATGCTGGCTATTACAAGAGTGGATCCGACATTGCTTTCACATGCATAGCCTGCCCAGGCGATTCATACTCAGCACCAGACAGCACCTCTTGTACACCATGTCCTGATAACTCAGCCATCCCCAGCGGTACCAACAAAACTGCCCGTACAGCCTGCCAATGCAATGCTGGCTATTACAAGAGTGGATCCGACACTGCTTTCACATGCATAGCCTGCCCAGGCGATTCATACTCAGCACCAGACAGCACCTCTTGTACACCATGTCCTAATAACTCAGCCATCCCCAGCGGTACCAACAAAACTGCCCGTACAGCCTGCCAATGCAACATTGAGTATTTCTGGGATGGTTCAGATGAGAGCTTTGTTTGCACTACATGTCCCGATGAGCACTACTGCCCTGGAAACAACAGCAAGCTAGACTGTGAGCGCTGTACGCCCAACCAATATGAGTTCAGCAGGTGCTTCAATAGCAAAAACCGTGTCTGCATCTTCTGTACAAACTGCAGCATGCATCAGTACGAGACGAGGGGTTGTCAGCAGGATGGCGACGGTGCTGCCAATAGGATTTGCTCCGACTGCTCTATATGCCCTGCTTCTACGTTTGAAACCGTGCCTTGTGCTGACGGCAACTCTCCTCAAAACAGACAGTGCTCGCCATGCCCATCACAAACTTATTCCCCTCAAAACAGCACCGTTTGTACCCGATGCTTTAACAACTCGTTGATTCCAGGTCAAACCCCAGGTACCTCCGTCATGGATTGCCTCTGTATACCAGGTTATGGATTCACCAACAACACGGTAATAACTAACTCTAACACTAGCACTAGCACTAACTGGCTAAGTCACACAAAGTTCGAAAAATTAAAATCTCAAATGTTGCGCCACGAGAAGAACATCAAGCCACACACGACTCGGGGCATTGGGTCCCCTCCGGGCAGACGCTGCACTTGTCGGCAGCAAACCTGTAGTATCCATACTCACTATCCTCAAGGGGGTACTCAAATAACTCATATTATAAACTCCACCCTCCCAACAGGGGGTACTTAGCCCCCCACACACATCTACTTAACTCACCGCCGGCGCCACCGGACCCCGAAAAGCCACGCCGCCATGCCCAAACGCAGCAACGACTCCCACCCATCCTCGTCAAAGAAGCGTAAAGTATCTCTTTCCAACGCATGCAATACTGTTGCTTTGTACAAACCTCCTGTGTATTTCCACAATGCTCAATCTGCTATTATACGTCACGCTCATAATGCCATCCACAAACCAACTGTTGACTGGCAATTGTATCTGATCCAACTCTTCTGCATGCTTGACCGCTTTACTATCAACAAACTCATTCCAAATTTCTTGGACCCTTCCGTGATATATGCTCTTGTCGAATACAAACCTTTCCTGGGACTTGATTACGCAAAAAGTCATATCTTTTCACATTGGCAATGTAATATGTATTACACTTCTAAGCATTCCAAGGGCCGAAATCGTGCCATTCGTTACACCAACTGTCAGACAGTTCAATGGCGATTGTATTTGATTCAACTCTTCTCGTTGCTTGACCGCTTTACGATCAAAAAGCTCGTTCCATTCTTTTTGGACTCTTCCATCAAAGCTGATCATGATATGCTCTGTCGCAACTTGTTGAAATCTTTTCGTATCAAACTCAACCCAAAAAAATTGCATCACAACACAAAAGTTGATGAATATCAAGCCTGGATACGAAGGATGTTTCAACATTCAACATTCGACAAGGAAAAACAGATGAAGCTTCACTACGAAGCTCGAATCCAGAGCATGCAACAGGAACACGCTGCAGAAATCCACAACAAGGACAGGTTGATTGCTAGCCTTCTAAAGAGGATCCCTAAAAGGTTTTGACAATAAAATTTCTTTCAATCTGCCTTGTGTTTCATCTTTCTACACACCGCACTCTTTCCACCTTGCTTCAGACTTGTCTCGTATATAAAATAAAGTGTTGAAGCGGCAACAACAATGATCTTCCATGGCTTAAATCAATGGCAATTACAACTGAATTCATAGTGTACTGGCGTTGAGTGATGTTGCAATTAGAATCATTGTGTGGGCAGCCAGCCCCTTTGCGCTATTGATTCTTGTTTGGATCATATACGGATTATATTCACTAACAACTATGTTATATTCACTAACAACTATGTCAAGAAAAGAGACTTCCGTGGCGCAGCAGCACAGATACTTTCAAATTCAGACTCCCTGGCAATGCCAGCCAGCCATCTATAGCATCAGTCATAATCTGGTTTAAAGCCACAATCAATCAAACACACAACTCAATCGCGCTCTCACCTCAATCAGATTCACTCTCATCTGAGTCAGAT